CATCGGCAACAGAATAGTAAAGAGTTATTTTTCAATATTTTTTCAGATTACTTTTTTAGAATGCATTTCTACAAAAATCGAGTCCCAATTTCTCATTCAATTTGAAATACCAGGTCTCTAATCTTTTCACGAAAAATATTTTACTGTAATGATTGAAATAGATTACTTAAATAATTATAATAACAAATTTCAAAATCGTACAAGGAGTGAAGAGAGTTCAACACAATTTTGACACGTTTACGTATATAATCAACATCATTTACGTGTTTAAGAAAGTCATTCAAAGATAGTATTACAAAGAGAGGCGAAAGATAACAAAGGGACATTCAAACTCATAAGTCGAAAATAAACTGACAACGCCATGGCTAAAAAAGAAAAAGACCAACAGACAAACAATAGTACACAAAACACAACATAGAAACTAAAGACTGAGCAACACGATACTCACCAAAAACTGGGGTAGATCTCAGGTGCTCCGGAAGGGTAAGCAGATCCTGCTCCACATGTGGCACCCGTCGTGTTGTTCATGTTAGTACAAACCCGGTAATAAGTCTAATTCGGTAGGTCACATTCGGGAAAAGGGGACGGGATTGTAGTAACGACATTAGGAACATATCTGCTATCATCTGTGAAACGGATATTCCGTAACGGTCAACCAACTCGTGATGGCGTCAGTAAAATTTACGAAGGGATGATTTCAACTTCACCACTTGGAACTCTTTGTTTAAAAGCTTCCTTGTGAGTAGCAACCCTCTATCAAGGAAATCATGATAGAAAATACAAGCCATGGAGTATCGTATCAACTGGGAGATATATACTCCGAATGCAGGCGCTGCTGGAATGTTGCTACATAAAAATGGAAAGTTCACAATTGGGAAGCTGAAATCATCTCTTTTGTCATAAAGTTTTGTTTTTAACCGACCCTCATTGTCAATTTCTAGATGTAAGTCAAGATATGAGGCAGACTTAACTGTATCTGTTGTATCCAAAGTCTGTTAATATATATAAGAAAATAGCTTCTTTTTTCTACATATAAACAAAACGAAAACAATACCTAAAACAAACAGAAACGCCAATCTATATTTAACATCTAAAGGCCGTGTCTACTCAGTTCGTGTAAGGTCTGATTGATTCATTCACTTGTGCACTAAGTAAATAATCTCATATAATCAAAAACAAAGTGTTCTAGAAACGATGAAATCGTTATCAAATAAAAAGTTGAGCTAGTTTTTGTTGAAATGCAACTCAAATTTCTTTAATATTATCATGGTGGATAAAATAAACAATCTCCTGCATTAAATGATACCTCCAAATCAACACTAACGGTTGAGTTATGTATCAACCGTACTTGATACGTAGCAAATTGGGAAACCTCTATTATCGTACAAGTGGACGCTTTCATGTCGATCCGGCTCAACGTCGATCCAGCCCAAGTCGATTTGTTCCATATTTAGAGTCGATCCGGCCCTAATTTTTGATCTCCCCTTAAATGCCCAAATGTACTGTTAGGGCCATAAATCTTCATCGATCGATCGCGAGGTGACGTTATAATTTAATGTATTGTTTTTTTCTGGTATTTCTGTATACAAAATGAGTGTCCAATGATCAGGGTTTGTCCGATGATAGAGAAACTGCTGATACTGCCGGTCTATAGGTCTGAATAAAGTCTCAAAGAAGAAAGGGTTGTAGCAGTTATCATAATTTCATGTCAGACGTGCTCACTGTTAATTTTGCCTACATAAAATTGCATTAATATTTTATAAATGTAGAATTCGATTTCAGATTAGGTTTAATACTTCGATTAGTAGTCTGTTTTTTTCAGGCATTTTTAGGAGACATAAATAACATTTATAAAATTACAAAAAAAATCATGTTTGAAATTGAGATTGCACCTCCAAAAATAAGGCCAATTTTTCAAAAGGAGATTTTATTTGCGCCAAGTGCAAATTGAAATCTGCACTAGATTACGATGTATATGTCTTTCTGTGTGCCAATTATAACTGAACGACCAGAACGTATGTCGTTAAAGTCACTGTTCACCTTGCTTTAATTTTATCACATGACCATTAAACTTCCTCATTCTTCTTGTTAACACTTGGTACACATAGATTGAATCGGTCACAAGGGTGAGTTGTTATTTTTTTTTCACTTCAGATCAATAGATATCTCAAAAAATTCTAGTAGCAATTTGCTTATTAAAAGCATTCTTTTGTAAATCGAGTCATTTTATTTCCGATTTCAATTTTGGCAACTCACAGACAATTCCATCATTCTTTTCTTTTTTCTCTGTGTGCGTTTCAAGTTTCACATTGTATGAAATGAACTTAAATGAAATTTATAGTTGTTTGTGTAGCTTTATATAAATAAAGGCAACAGTAGTATACCGCTGTTCGAAATTCATAAATCGATTGAGAAAAAAACAAATCCAGGTTACAAACTAAAACTGAGGGAAACACATCAAATATAAGAGAACTACGACACAACAGAAACACGTACAACATTAAAATGTAACATACACAGAAACGAACTATAATATAACAATGGCCATTTTCCTGACTTGGTACAGGACATTTTAAGTAAAAATGGTGGTTTGAACCTGGTTTTGTGGCTAGCCAAACCTCCCGCTTTTATGGCAATATTAAATATAACATTAAAATGACAACATAACAGGACAGGACTACAATACAAATAACTGGGAGAACATATAGGACAGAGAAACATACGAATAATAGCTAACAAAAGGTACCAGGTTTAAAATTCAACACGCAAGACGCGCGTCTCGTCCACACAAGACCAACCATCGACGCCCAGATCAAAAAAGTACAAAAGCCAAAACAAGCACAAAGCCGAAGAGCACCGAGGACCAAAAGTTCCAAAAAGCTGCGCCAAACACGGCCAAGGTCATTCGTCTGGGACAAGAACATCCTTAGTATTAAGAATAATTCATACTTTTGCTAACAGTAAATCCATAAAAACCTCCATATAATAGATATACATGACAACACCGAAGTGGTGACTAACTTCAGAATAAAAATGGATACATAGAACAACATAAACCAGCACAAAAAAATTCACAGCCGCGTTAGCCAAAGAGATCAACGCTAAAAAAAAGGTGACGTCACATTTGAATTTCTGAAATTTCCCCAAAATAGGTTAGAATTAGGATAGAATTCAAGATTTGGTTTACAATACTCATATAACATTTATCAATAACAATGAAAATTACAATACTAATATAAAGTTTTCCTCAACCGCATAGCGTAGATATGTCCAAACCAGCCAGTTCAAACCTGTTCAGCCTTAGCCATTTAGTATCTATATTATTTATTTAAATTAAATTGTATAGAGTTTGGCATATGGTATGTCCTTTCACTTTTTATGTGTGTATGTTATGTGATCTCATAAACAAAGTGTTAGCCATAAAGAACTACCGCGACAATGGGTCGGAAAGTGGGTGTCCCCAATTCGTATTGTATCAAATTTGGCTTTATTTCCATGTTTCGGACGACATTTTTGACCTTTAAGAATGCTTACCCCAGAAATTCTTTACCCTCCTGCTGTAGTACTATCCAATAGCTATTTATTAGAGTAGAGTCTATAATCCCTAGCCATACAGAACTGCCGAGGCAATGGGTTGGAAAGTGGGTGACTTCAATGCGTATTGTATCAAATTTGATTTTTTCCCGTATTACGGACAAAATTTTCGGCCTTTAAGAATGCTTACCCCAGAAATTCTTTACCCTCACGTTGTAGTACTGTCCAATGGCTATTCATTAGGGCATTATGTCTATAATCCATAGCCATAAAGAACTACCGCGACAATGGGTCGGAAAGTGGGTGTCCCAATTGCGTATTTTATCGAAGTTGGCTCTATTTCCATGTTTCGGACGACATGTTTGGCCTTTAAGAATGCTTACCCCAGAAATTCTTTACCCTCCTGCTGTAGTACTATCCAATAGCTATTTATTAGAGTAGAGTCTATAATCCTAGCCATACAGAACTGCCGATGCCCTAAAGTCGATGGGGCCCAATTTAAAAAGTACCTTAAAAGTCGAAATATTAAGCAGCCAATTTCTCTTTAATCCTTTGGATTTTGTCTTTGGTTTTTTATTTTTTTTAAAGAGTTTTGGTTAATTAACCTATTTGACAGCATACGAAGTTTTCAACTTGATGGTTGAGCCTTAGCTAGTTTTTCATATTTTTTAATGTTCGTGTATATATGTGAATACAGTACATAATTACCAATATCTGGTACTGAACGATCACACCGTTACATAATAGCTTGAAAGCCTATATACTTTTTGCAGAATTGAACAATTGTCCGGTTTGACCCTCCCAGTTCTGGTACCAATATCAAATTTTAATCTCCCCTTAAATGCCCAAATGTACTGTTAGGGCCATAAATCTTCATCGATCGAGGTGACGTTATAATTTAATGTATTGATTTTCTCTGGTATTTCTATATACAAAATGAGTGTCCAATGATCAGGGTTTGTCCGGTGATAGAGAAACTGCTGATACTGCCAGTCTATAGGTCTGAATAAAGTCTCAATGAAGAAAGGGTTGTAGCAGTTATCATAATTTCATGTCAGACGTGCTCACTGTTAATTTTGCCTACATAAAATTGCATTAATATTTTATAAATGTAGAATTCGATTTCAGATTAGGTTTAATACTTCGATTAGTAGTCTGTTCTTTTCAGGCATTTTTAGGAAACATAAATAACATTTATAAAATTACAAAAAAAAATCATGTTTGAATTTGAGATTGCACCTCCAAAAATAAAGCCAATTTTTCAAAAGGAGATTTTATTTGCGCCAAGTGCAAATTGAAATCTGCACTAGATTACGATGTATATGATATGTGTATAAATATGCTCAACTGGGCCTTACGTCTCTCCTGTGTGCCAATTATAACTGAACGACCAGAACGTATGTCGTTAAAGTCACTGTTCACCTTGCTTTAATTTTCTCACATGACCATTTAACTTCCTCATTCTTGTTAACACTTCTTATACAAAGATTGAATCGGTCACAACAAGGGTGAGTTGTTATTTTTTTTTCACTTCAGATCAATAGATATCTCAACAAATTCTAGTAGCAATTTGCTTATTAAAAGCATTCTTTTGTAAATCGAGTCATTTTATTTCCGATTTCAATTTTGGCAACTCACAGACAATTCCATCATTCTTTTCTTTTTTCTCTGTGTGCGTTTCAAGTTTAACATTGTATGAAATGAACTTAAATGAAATGTATAGTTATATGTGTAGCTTTATATAAAGTTTTCCTCAACCGAATAGCGTAGATATGTCCAAACCAGCCAGTTCAAACCTGTTCAGTCTTAGCCATTTAGTATCTATATTATTTATTTAAATTACATTGTATAGAGTTTGGCATATTGTATGTCCTTTAAATGTGTGTATGTTATGTGATCTCATAAACAAAGTGTTACATCTTTGAGATGACAAAATAGCTAGACTTTATGAGATAAAAAGAAAAACAATCTGATATTTTTTCTTTGTACATAAAATTGTATCAGAACAGATGACAGACTTTTCAAAAACGCTACATATATTTTCTTTTTCTTTCATAAAATGTTATATATGTACTTGAAAACTTGATTTAAAGATTGAGCATTTAATCTTTTGATCAATTGTGATGTGATGCTTTTGTTTCTTTTTTTTTTATTTCCTTGTTGAAAGACAGTTATAGATTTGAGGAATCTCTCTCCGTTTCCGTTTCCGTTTCAGATAGACTTTAGCTCGAAAACCGGTTTTTGATGTTGATTGCTCTGAAGATTTCTGATTAAGTTCCGCTTAAATAATTTCAATTGAGATTGACACAGCACTACCGGATTCCGATGACAACAGAGGTTTTATAAGGCCGAATGGGCCGACACCCAAATATTACTTTTTCATTGAAAATTGGATTTGAGTGTGTTTTCTATAAAGTTAGTCAGAGAAATCACTTCTAATCATTTGTTTGAATTCTCACTCATATGACACATTGCTAGTCAAAACAAAATAAGCAGATTTGGTTTGATTGCCAATAAGACAACTATCCAACAAATGATGAAATGACGTTGATTTCAGTTAACAATATGGCACTGTAGGGCAAAAAAAAAAAAAACAATGAGCAAAACCCATACCGTAAGTGGGTTTTAGTCAAAGACTTCCTAGGCAGATATTGAAAAATAGTCATTTCTAATTTATGCCAAAGTTTTTATGTTGAATTGATCACGTTATTTTACAGGACTTCTTGTACAAGAAATGACTTCCAATACTTCACTTTGTGACATCTGTAGCCTCCGTTATATTTCCAATCCATCTACCCACTGGTGCCAAGACTGTGACGAGGCTCTTTGTTCAGACTGTAAGGAACATCATACATTATCAAAGGCAACCCGTGATCATACATTTATTCCAATTGCTGATTATAAGAAATTGCCTGTCTTTATTACCGATATCAAACCAAACTGTGAAATACACAATGAAAAATATCAAAATTATTGCCAGAAGCATGACTGTCCGATTTGCTACAAATGTATTCAGGACCATGTCAAATGCACGGACAATATTGTACCACTCGAAATGGTTACTCAGCACTTCAAAACGTCTCATATTTTCGATGATTTGACGCAGAGTATTTCAGATTTAGAAACAAATATCAAACAGCTGCGGAAAGGCCGTGAAGATAATTTGGTTGAAATAGCAGATCAATACAAATCATCAGTCATGAAAATTAAAGAGTTGAGAATAAAAGTGAATCATAATCTTGATAGCATTGAGCAAGAACTGATGTCGCAGCTCAAAGACGCTGAGTCCAAATGTAGTCAAGAAATAAAAGAAATTCTACAATGTCTGAATAAAGTAGAACTGGAAATTTGTAATTATGATAGCACATTAAAAGGTATAAAACAACATGCTTCAGAACTACAAGTGTATCTGGTGACGAGAGAAATCGAAAAGCAAGTGTCCGAACAGGAAAAAAAATTGAAGTCCATGATGGAAAACAAACTTTTTGATTATTTCACTTTCAGTTTGGAGATACACTCAGAAAGGGAAAACATTTTATCTGATCTGTGTGGCACAGTATCTGTAGAAAAAAACCCAACCAAAGACAAATTAATTTACAGTAAATCAAGACAAGCTCAAATTTTGTCAAACGTTATTAATTCTTTCGATAATATTAAGTTAAGACGAATTCAAAAGTTTAATCCTGGAAGTAAGAGCGTTACCGGGTGTATCATCCTCCCAGACGGACGAATGGCTTTTACTCAGTACCAAAAAAATCGATTGCTGATCAGGAAGGCAGACGGAAATCTTGATTTCGAAATTCAATTGTTAGAAAATTGCACATTTGACTTAACTGTAGTGGACGTTGCTACTGTTGCTGTAAGTTCTGGTGCGTCTATGTATAAACCACATATCCAGTTAATTGACATAAATTCGAGGGAAAAAACAAACTTGATACATACGAAATCCAGCTGCTATGGGATAGTGTATGTTGATGAAACATTAATATGTTGTGGTAATGTCCCAAATGGAATATATAAGATTGATTTAAAAAGTAATCAAACGAGCGTCATTAGTAGCACAATTGTATCAGCGACAAAGTCATATATAGCATACTTTAACAGTAAGTTCTACGTAACGAATGACCGAGAGCACACTATTACATGTTTTGATAACCATGGTACTGTTATCTGGACTTACGAGGACAGGATAAACATTATAACTCCACAAGGTGTTTCAATTGATTCCAACGGGAATGTGTTTGTAGCTTGTTTTCATTCGAATAATGTTAGTGTGATATCGCCAGAAGGAAGCCGTGCAAAACAAGTTCTTGACCATAAAGACGGATTACATAATCCAAGTGCACTGCATTATGAGCGTACTACCAATCGACTTCTTGTTGCTAATAACAATGGCACGGTATGTTTGTTTGAAGCGTAGTAAAAGTTACTGATTTGAGTGAATGAACGTTATGGGATACTCAGTTTTCCATCATTTGTCATCTTTTATATAAAGATTGCGAATAAGACCAGGTATATTCTTATCTAACTTATTTTGCAAATCTAGGGAATTGTTTATATAAGAAATGGAAAGACCGGCGATTTTTAACATTGAAACAAAAAAGTGCATAACATAGAAACTTTTAACAGAGATTTTTTAGGAAATAAATTGTCTTTCCATTGATAAAAAGATATTTGATTTGTCATTTCTTGTTATTTGGCATCTCAAAGTAAAAGTTACTAAGTTTATACATTGGAATCATACACAACCATGTTTGACTGATTTTACAGTTTCATGACTTGTTTGTTTTGTTCGTTATGGAAGTCACCATTCTTTGTATTGTTTAACTGATAACTTGTTTTAAAGTTTCATGTAATTTTTGTTCTTGGCGGTAGTCACCTCTTTTTTTTTGTTGTTTATGTACACTTAATTTTTCAGATGCATAAAAGTTTTAAAAGGTAAAGCTCGAAAAACTAAAGCGGCTTCTATAGATATGACAACTTTTAGAATATTAATTTTACATTTTCTCTTAAGTGGTTTATTGTATTGTATACGAATAATTGGGGGTAAACCATAAGTTTGTTTTCTTGTCATTTCATTCACAAATAACGTAGCGTCCCTCTTAAAAAAAAGATTTTGAGTCTTTCAAATTTCAAATAAATAATTCTCCAAAAATATTGGTAATGCTGCGAAAACTTACCATCATTTTTTTTTAAATTTGCAGCATGGTCATTTTTTAATTTGTCTTTTCACCTTCTTTTGATATTCAAAACACATCAACAAAGTTTTGTATTCGTTATATTGTTAAATAAAGTGTCATTTTACGTTTTAAGGCGCTGTTTGTGGAATTGTATTAAGAATCCTTGATTGTAATCTATATCATGTTTGTAAATAAATATACACACATGTTTTTTGTTTCTACGGAATGATTGAATATATAGAATATTTCCGTGATTTTGAAGAACATTAAAAAATGTCTATAAAATGTGCAGCATTTCTTATCAATTCCATTATTGGAGTAAAAATCTAATATTTTTTAAGCTTGAAACTTTAATGAGAAGCTTTGATGGATAAAAGTTTAAAGAATGGAGCAGAGTTTATAATGACTAAAACATTTCCAAATGCACATTTGCATTGAAAATTAAAACACAACTAAACGTGTATTGCTATACAGTTATACTTATTCCGGTTCTTTATCCTGTCGATGCTTATATTTTGGCATTGCACAAGGTCATATTTTTTTCTCAGACTGTTCACATTGAATTCATGGGATGTGCATTAATTGATATCTTGTCTTATATGCATTTTTTTATTAGTTATAGGCTAATAATAATATTTTAACTAGTTTTCAGTAGCTGCAAGGACTCTCAGATCGGTAATTTGTGTATTTAGTTTTTTTGTCAGTTTTTTTTTATCGATCGCCGGAATCAAGCCCTTTTTAACCGTTTTTACAGTTTGTTCTTGGGCTGTGCTGTTACACCAACCGTCCCAAGTTAGGAGCCTGTAATTTAAAGATTGTCGTTTGTTGCTATTTATCATATCTGTATTTTACCTTCGTCACCAAAACAGGTATAGAAACTGCTTCATTCCGTCCGTACGTCTGTGTGTCCGTCCGTCCGTCTGTGTGTCCGTCTTTCCGTCTGTGTGTCCGTCCGTCTGTGTGTCCGTCTTTTCGTCTGTGTGTCCGTCGGTCCGTCTGTGTATCCGTCTTTCCGTCTGTGTGTCCGTCCGTCCAAAAGACCTTAGGTAGAAAACAACTTTCGTCAAGATTTTCTTTGCCTCTTTGAAAGGAAACTACTTTATATTTGATCCAGAGCTTGATAAAGTTGAGTTGCACCGATTAAGCAATTCTACATCAACCGTGCAGCCACTTCCTATTTGCCGATAGTTTGAAATTTTACAACACTCAGGCTACAAGGAAAACTTTCGTCAAGCTTGTCTTGGCTTCTATTGAAGGAAATGATTTCACGTTTGATCTGGAGCTTGTTAATGTTGAGTAGTACAAAATAAGCAATTTTTACATTAGCCGTGCAGTGACTTTCAGTTTGCCGATGGTATCAAATTTACAACGCTGATTGTGGAAGGAAAATTTTCGTCAAGCTTTTCTAGGCTTCTATGGAAGAGAAAGATTTTATATTTGGTCTGGAGCTTGATAATGTTGAGTATTACATAGTAAGCAATTTTTACACCAGCCGTACAGCTATTTCCTGTTTGCCGATAGTTTTTAATTTTGGAACACTCATTTTACAAGGGAAATTTCGTCAATCTTTTCTTGGTTTCTTTCAATGGAAATGATTACATGTTTGGTATGGAGCTTGATAATATTGAGTAGTATAAAGTAAGCAATTTTAACATCAGCCGTGAAGCCACTTTCAATTTGCCGATAGTTTGAAATTTTAGAACACTCATTGTTTAATGAAAATTTTCGTCAAACTTTTCCTGGCTTCTATGGAAGGATATTATTTTATATTTGGTCTGGAGCTTGATAATGTTGAGTAGTACCGAGTAAGCAATTTTTATATCAACCGTTCAGCTACTTCTTGTTTACCGATAGTTTGAAATTTATCTAGTACTCATTGTACAAGCAAAATTTTCGTCAATTTTTCTTTTCTTCCACGGAAGATATGATTAGTTATGTTTCAGTATATAAGTTACCTTAATCAATTGCATGCAGCGAAGCAGGTCAAGACTGTTGTTTATTGTTATCGGTTTTGTTGTTTCCTTGTTTTACATTTTATAACTTACTATGCGGTATGGATTTAATTCATTGTTGAAGGTCATACGGTGACCTATAGTTGCTTATATCTATTTCATTTAGTATTTTTTTTACTCGAAAATTGTCTCATTGGCAATCATACCACATCTTTTTATTTCTGTATCAGGGCCATTTTAAAACCTTAACGGGCAATGATTTGATGAGAATACTTCATGTAGACAATAATATTTGAGGATCACCATCAGTTTTTATCAATGTCCCACTATCCATTTGGTTTGATTGTAATCAAATTATGTCATAAAACTTACTGAATATGTTTGACGCTTACCACTATCGTCTGCAACAAATTTGAAAATATGTTAATGAACAATAATTCTTTCAAAGTTAGATGAATGTAAAGGAAACACTGATATGTGACTAATTATAAAGTAACGTTGTCATAATTATCTTTTTGAATGCAGATACAATGTTCTCATCAGACAAGTTTTTGACAATATACCAAAAAGTAGACATTTATAGTAACCTGTATTTTGCAAGGATCAAAATTTAGTTCAGAATAGGTATTTGAGTCAAATGAAACTTTATAACTTTCTATTGCACAATGCTTAAACAAAATTGCGTTTATCAAACGTCAGTAATAGGCCAAAAACGATAGTCAATGCTTGTCCATACATTTGTGTAGCTCTAGATCATCCTGATTTTTTTACAAGGTACAAACAAAGTTATGATAACAGTGGCAATAACAGTACAGGTCTATATCACGTTTTATGTAAACTTTTGACATGAAAAAGGAAAAAGTTTTATGAACTTTAAGAATCACCTGCAATGTACAACAACAAGGGAGAAAATAGCACGTGTATGTCAGTTTGTAACTTGAGTAGCAGTATGTAATGGTGTGATTACACTATGCTGTTAAATTCCTATCTGCATATACCCCAAAAGATATAGCCGTTGAAGGAAGTGTAGGCAAAAAATAATTGCCAAAATGTATAACCTATTAAATAAAATATATTAAATATATCATTTTGATTTAGAAAGTGTTATCCCGTTCATTTTATGATAAAAAAAAATATCAAACATAGACATGTATACTCATCTTAAGATGTATTTGTTTTTAATGTGTCGATTTGGTTCCCATCTAACTGACATATCGTTATACCCGCATGATAAGCTTCATGACAAAATTAAAATAACCCATCTGTTTTGTTTATGCTAGTTCTAGAGTCACGCCTTTAATTACATTATAAAAACTTGTCTGCAAGATCAAACCATCTATATATATCAAATGAATCCTTATGTAAACTATTTAAATCGGACGCAACAATTTTATGAAGTGTTATTTTCATTTTACAGTCAGGAAATTATTTCTTCAAAATTATCTCCCGATTACGCCAGCTAATGTTTTAGTACGGTGACTAGAAGGGTAATTTCAAAATTTTAATGGACCGACATACCATACGGCTGATTTTAGTCTTATTTGAAGATAAATATAATGTTCGTAGATTAAAGTCTGTCGTACAGTGCTAAAGTGGCGCAGATTTTTGAAAATAGCGATCAAAGGTCAAAAGGGGAACTTTCAAAAACATGTTTTTTTTTACATTTCGGACAATTTTTCGGAAACCTGTCATGATAACTAATACAAGTTTCAAGGAAATCATGGTCTGGTAATGTTGAAATTTAGCTTGTTACTGTTACACCTGATTGCCAGAGATTTGCGACTTATACCCCCGCTTCAAACATGTGTGAAAATGACACACTCTACCTTCATCCACGGAAATTTTCAATCAAATATGTCAAATCTTTGAATCAGATACGCAATAATAATTGGCAACATATATAGATTTTTTCAATGAAAAACTAAGATCAAAGGGGTACAGCAATTGTAATACTCGATCCAAGTTTCAATAAGAAAAAATGATGAAGCTCATTATTGGTTATTTAAACCCAAAAGAAAATTGAAACCATGATAATAGTCTTGCGTGATAGTCAACATCATACATTTAGTTTTGTATCAGGATTTTATGTAAATAAGTCAAGAGAAATTGATTATTGTGACCCATTTTTTTTTATAAAACACCACAAAGGGCATATTTTGCAAACTCTTGACTTGAAACGTTTGGAAAGCTCGATAAGTGTTGTTTTTACAAACAATATAAGATCATCCACAGAGCTAACGAAAAATATTTCACACAAAAAATCCATAAAATATCAAACATGCTTATTCCTGTAACACTTGACACTGCGCGAGTCCTTTTGAAATAAAAACGAATGCTGAGATAAAACTGTACAAATATAGGTGATGATACTATGAAATGAAATGCGTAAACAATATACGATACAAAAAGTTTCAAGTTGGTTTGAAACCCTACAAACCAAGTCAAGTTCGGAGACTACTGGTAGTTTTGTTAGTTTTTAAGACCAAGAGCGAGAGCTAGAGAGAGAAAGTTCGAATATATCGTGTCAAGCAAGTCGAGGCCACACTGGCAGTACAACATATGTGAAATATTGAGAATTGATACTAATGTGTATCAAACTAAACAGTTTATCGAGTATGCTTCTCTCTACAATCATTATCGCCTTGAGAACAACTAATGTGTGTGTATTTACTGTTCGTAGCATACGTAGGATTTTCTGAAAAAAAAACCCATTATTTTCCTTAGCATGTGTCAACAAGGTCCATAAAAAGTCATAGGATAATGTACTTTAAAAAACATTGGTACTAAAGAGCTATATCCTCGGGCTATATCCCATTCTTCAATCATACTCCAAAGGTGATCTGGGTGGTGGTTTGGCAATTTTAGCATTCATCCAGCAAACGTACTCGAAGAATTTGTTGACTTGATGATGCCTGCGATGGAAGCAGTTTCACTAAGGGATTGAGATTACCATAACTAAATTAAATATTGATCTTACAAAATTCCAGGTTATTTGATAGTTTGGTTCATTGCTGTGAAATTAAAGAATTTAATTAATAGGTAAAAAAAAAATCAAGAATTTTCAGTTCAGACTGAATTCAGATAGTCACCTTTAAATTTGTTTATTACTTTTTCAAATTAACTTGGATTTTCATAAAACTATAAAGCTATCTCAATTGTATATTGATCTTACTGAATCGCAGTTTGTTATGTTGTTTGGCATATTGCTGTCTAATTTAAGGATTTAATTAATCAAGGTAAAAAAAGCTAAAATTTTCA